ATCGCTTTGGACTGTAAATAAATAGAGCCATAATCATAATGGAACAACCAGGGTGTTTGAACATTAGAGAACAAAAGACACAGAAGAATGAGAATGCACTTGCTTAGAATAACAGAGCTTGCAGAATCCAAAATTAGGTGTTAATCGAGCTTCCCCTACCCCACAAGATGTACTGTGAACTACAGACTTGGCTGAACAGATGTCGAGATTACTGTTCACAGGCTCTGGGTAGAAATCCATCCCTGACACTCAGCGGTGTTCTCACGGAGATTCCCTTAGCAAAGAGTGCCTTTGACCCTAGCAGAGAGAAGTACATCAGAATTGGATTTATTTTTGCTACAAAATATTTGTCAACCCAGACCCTCCTGCTTTGCTCCTCTCAGCGCCCTGCCTCCACCATTTTCAGGTCATTCCAAGGGCTGCTGAGGATTAGTGGTGTTGGGATCCTGGTACATGGCCTCAAGCAGCTTGATCTCATAAGTGGGTGGCTCAGGCTGGAACTTGAGCACCCAGGGGTCCTTGATGATGTCCAGGATGGTGGCACGCTTGGCAGCTTGGCATAGCATCTGGAGGATTAGGTTCTAGGGCAGAGAAGAGGTCTTGACTGAGTTTGCCCTCATGGTGTCACACAGGGGTGTGGCCCTGGTTTTATGCTGCGGGGAGAGCCAGGCATTCCCTACAAGTGGAGACCAGCCCACGGGGGCAATCCCTTCATAAACCCTTCTGGCCTAAAGGGACAGAAGCTGAAACATGTTTATCAAGCGTGCCTAAGGCATGGAGCCCAATGACTGACCCTCTAAGTCCTCCCCACTACTCCAGGAAAGGGCTAGAGTGTGAGATGGCTTGGTTGTGGGAGGACCTTCCCATGGTCTGGAGGCCTAGGTGTAATATTTCTTCCCCTCCACAGCTCATGCCTAAAACCTCAGCCCTCTGGGGAGAGCCAGCACCTTGCACTCCTGGGAGATGGTATGATTAGGTGGGAAAGTGACCTCCTTCTGAGTCCCTCTCAACAGCTTCTTGAGATTGGTGTCATCAAAGGGCAGGTGAGCCACCACTAAAGTGTAGAGGATGACACCCATGCTCCAGGTGTCAGACAGGAAAGGGTTGTAGGGCAAGCCTCGCAAGATCTCCGGACAGGAATAAGCAAAGCTGCCACAGTATGTCTGGCTGAGGTGGGAAATGATGCTTGTTCGGTGGTAAGAGGAGCTTTTATGACCAGACT